TTTACATATTTTTGTAAATATGTAAATTTTCATTATTACTTTATGTGACCATAAAAAGGTCTGATTTATGCTTTGATACTATGGGTGGACCGGGCCCGGTTCGGGCCTGGGCCCGGCCAGGCCTCGGTTCAGAAATGGGAGACCCGGAACCGGGCCAGGTAATCCCGATCCGGGCCGGGCCTCGGTTCTATTTTTTTTTTTTGGCTTTTCCTAATTAACCCCCAGCCCTCCCCCTCACCTCAAATGGCCCAAAATACCAAGCCCAACCCAAAAACTTAAAAAAAATTCAAAAAAAAAAATAATTTGGCCCGAACCGGGCCCTTTGGCCCGAACCGGCCAGGCCAGTTCGCCAATCAAAGGGCCCGGGCCCGAACCGCACAGTAACCGGGCCGGGCCGACCCGAACCGCCCCCCGGACCAGTTCCCGAGCCAGGCCGGTTCAAACAGTAACCAGGCCGGGCCGGTTCCGGGTCGCCCGGCCCGAGTCCATCCCCATTTGATACATTACTCGTATGAATCCATTTCACACACAAAAAAATATACTGAGTAATTACTTTCATTATGTCTATAGTAGAATGAAGAAACATTGTAATTAAAAACTTGTTTTAAAGGTCGCATTAGATGTACGATAAAAACAGATCGCATTAAATGTTTAAATTACAATAAAACAAATATCGTAGTTAAAATCTATGATTTAATACGATAGTATTACATAGCAAGATAATAACTCCAAAATATCATAACATTCCTTGATTGGAAATCCTTTGTTTACCCAACTTGTTGATTCAGCACCTGAAAAAAAGCGAGAGAAGGAAAAACGAATATATCAATCAATAACAAACGTGTTTAAACCACAATAAATATATCAATCAATGACAAGGATGTTTGTACTTGGACCGAAGACCGGACCGCTATCCATCCAGTCCGGGTCCAGTCTAGACTGACCGGTCCGGTTCGGCCCGGTTTTCCGGTCCGGTCCGGATTATGCGCAACCCTACAAGCCAGGATAGAGGAGACGTGTGTCATGATAAAGACAATGCCACTTCTTCACAAGTTGAAAGCTGATCACCTGAACCATCTGGCCTGAGTGTTGCACTAAAAACCCGTCTTGAAGGCCTGGTTAATTCTTGCCCAGTTATGCTTTTTATGAAGGGAAAGCCCGATGAGCCCAAATGTGGGTTTAGTCGCAAAGTAGTGGACATCCTTAAGCACGAGAAAATTGATTTCAAGAGTTTTGACATCCTCACAGATGATGAAGTTCGCCAAGGACTGAAAGTCTACTCCAACTGGTCAAGCTATCCTCAACTTTACCTATTCATTTCTTGGCATTGAACCATTTCAAATTATCATGACATTGGAAAATAGTCACAAAATAATGATTTTTATAGTTTCAAATACATTTGCATTGCCCTCTTGAATTGTAGTCTTCGGTATTAAATAAGAAACAAGTCAAACAATTATAAATGGAAATAAATTGAATGTACTCAAAGTTCTTAGATGAGAAAACTGTCAAATAAGTCCTCCTATTATATCTAAAAAGTCAATTAAGTCCTCGTACTATTAAATCAACCAATTAAATCCCTCAACTAATAAAAAATGCTCAATTTTACGTTTTGGCCGGTTGGTAATATTTACTCCCGGTAATTGCTGACATGGATGCCTATGTGGCACCATTTTTTTTTCATTTTCTTTTTTTTTTCCTTTCCTTCTCCTTTCTCCTCCATGTTTCCTTCCTTCTCCCAGGTTGTACGAGTACGACCTTCAACTTTTTTCTTCTTCTCCTTCCTTCCTTCCTTCCTACCTCTCTTCCTCCATTCTGCTTGTTCAGTTTTCTAATTTCTTGTCTCTCTGCTCTCTAGATCCATATTCTCCAGTGCGTTCTCCGTCTACTCTCACCAACTGCCACTAACCCCTTCCCTCAATTTCACCAATTTCCTCCCTTGTATTTCCTTCCCCCTTTCCTCTTTTTTCTCTTTCAGTTTTCTTTTTCTTCTTTGAGATCCAGGACTTCTTCCTCTGTTCTCTAATGATTCTCTTATTTGGTAGTTGGTAACAACTGCCAAAGACCTCTGCCTCTTCATATCTTTCACTCTTTGGGCTTCGATGGGATTCATGATTGTTGATGAAGGGAGACACTGTGGCGAGGGAATGAGCAGCATGGAGCTTACCGACTCCATTGTCGGCGTTTGTTGCTGGAGTCATATGTCAGAGCCTTTTGCTGGAGTCCGCAGTCGGCGTGTAGGTGTTGCACGTTGCTAGCGCCCTATCAGGGAGATGGAGGGAGGGTATAGCAAGAATTATATAATATGTAGTAAAAGAGAAGAACAAACAAATGTAAAAGAAAAAAAAAGCTTGGTGCAATTTGAAGCTTGGAAGGAAGATGTCTGGGCGAAGAAAGGGGGGAGAGAAATAGATAGAAAAGTAAAGAGATAGATAGAAAAGTAAAGAGAAATAGATAGAAAAGTAGTTGCCACGTGGGTGCTACATGTACATTTTTAACCTTTAACCGGTTATTTACTGGCTAAATGTGGGATTTGAACATTTTTTGAATGTTGGGGATGTAATTGAATGATTTAATAGTATGAGGACTCAATTGACTTTTTGAGTATAGTACGGAGACCTATTTGATAGTTTTCCCTTCTTAGGTTAGAAAGTATACTACGAAAACAAAACACAAATACTTTAAAATAATAAAAGTTCTATTTGCGTATCTAGTTACCCGAAAAATCACATAACGATTTTCGAAACTTAAAAAAAAAACTTCAAACACGGTCCAAAACGTATAGTATGAGTATCTTATCAGACGCAAAAACGTTTCCGGTATGCATGAATAATACATAGGGTTTGATGAATTTTTAAATTACATGAATAATTTTGGTGTATGAAACCTATACCTTTCCAAAAAAAAAGAGTTTTTTTTTAATTAGTTAGGTATTTACCGATATACTGTTGGTCTTAATAAGGATGGGGGTAAGTCGCCAAACCGTTTGGCGACTTTCCTATTAAAAAAGATGGGTCGGCCAACAGACTGCAGACAAATTGAAAATCATCCCAAAATCTCACCCGCTGCTCCAACTCTGGGGATTCAGACCTGCTGCTCCAACTCCAAATAGGAGATTCGACGGCAACTCCCTCCACCTTGCCAAGTATACTGCACCTCCATCTTCTTCAACACTCTTTCCTCTAGGTAAATCAAACTGCATTTCATCTCACGTTTCAAGTTAGGGTTTAGAATGTATAAATTTGGATTTTTTAGATTAGGAATTGATTTGTTGTGAAATGTGGATGTATGGAATGTTGAATTTTAATGTTGAATTTAATGTAATATTTTGATGTTGGTGTGGATTTTTGGTGTAATGTGAATTTTAATACTCGGGTATAATTTTTTTTGAAAAATGTATTATTTTGATTTTATTAATTGTGGTATATCTAATAAGATTTTCTTAAATATGAGAGTATTTAAATATGTTGTTATGTATATGAAATGTTGAATTTTGGGTGTATAAAGTAGGGGTGGACAATTCGGTTTACGGTTCGGTTTTCTTCGGTTTCGGTTCGATTTCGGTTTATTCGGGTTGGGAGAATTTGTACCAAACTGAAACCATTTGTGTTTCGGTTTGGTTTCGGTTCGGTTTAATAAAGTAAAAAATGTTATGTTTAATTTAGTTTGATTTGATTCGTTTGTTTATGTTTATTATTTTATTTGATGAAGTTCTATATTTTAGAATTAGAAAATGAAAGTAGTAGTCCGTCTCATCTTTTTTTAATTTATTGATTACTTAAATAAAATGTAAAAGGAAATAAAAGATAGAAAAATAAATAATAAATATTATAAATTAAAACTTCTAACATATTTTTTATCACTACAAAAATTCACTTCATAAAAAAAACAAGATAGTTGATTGGCATTGATAATATCACATAAAACATTCAAAAAAACCTAAAAGAGTTGGTGGTACAAATGTTGTAATATTCACAATTTTATTCAAATGAATCATGTAAAAATATAAATGGAATTTGTTATTTTTATTGCCAAACATAAAACAAATATGTCGTATTAGCTAACTTTGTCATAATGAATGTATGAAATGTGTAAAAGTTAAAATGATACGAGTATATGCTTAAATATGTATTTTCATGTCTAAATTATTTATTTATATCTTAAAAATGAAGAGTGAAGATAAATACAAAGTGTATATATATATATATATATATATATATATATGTTGTTCGGTGTTCGGTTTACGGTTTTTACGTTTTAAACCAAACCAAACCAAAGTACCAAACCATTCGGTTTGAGCAAATGTTTATCAAACGGTTTACTTGAGTAAACCCAAACCAAACCAAATCAAACCACCAATTTTAATAATATATGAAAGTTTTTTTGAGTTTCTTTAGTTCGGTTCGGTTTTGTTCGGTTTTTATCAGTTTCGGTTTGGTTCAGTTTAATACGGTTTGGAAGAAATAGTACCAAACTCAAACCAAATTGCATACGGTCCGGTTTCGGTTCGGTTTGGTACGGTTCGGTTCGGTTCGGTTAAACCAAACCGTTATGCCCACTCCTAGTATAAACTATAAAGTGTGTATATTAATGGTAAAAAAAGTGTGTATATTAATGTGTACTCATCAATTATCGTGATGTACTGTTATTAGAATATAGATTTCTCCAACTTTTCAATAGTGTGTCATTGGGGAGCAAGGCCGGCCCTGGACAGGGGTAGCCAGCCCAATCGCACAGGGCTCAATTTTTTGGAAGGCCCAATTGTTTTCCCCCTAGTATTAGAACTATCTGCCAGCCCAAGTCCGTAGCTTTTAAGGAAATACGGAGCAAAAGAATCCGCCAGGAGGAAGCTTGCGGAACACTGGAAGAGAAAGCGTCGCTTGAATGTGAAAGTAGGAAGAGTGAACGTCTGACCGAGGACCGCTGCCGCCCAGCGCCACCCTGCTACCGCGCCCCGCCTCCAGCCTCCAGCCTCCAGAACCACGACCACACCACCCGCACTCCACACTACCACAGACCAACAGTCCGGTAGTTATTTGTTTCTGATTTCGTCAATTTCAAATTAGTGAAATTACTGAAATTAGGTTGTGACCTACTTGCCTTGTTGTTATTTGTTTATTTATTGTCTACTGACAGTAAGTAATTGAATTGATAAACGATAATAAGCGTGTTTAACCATTACGATTTAAGAAGTTTGTATAAGTATTTTATTAGGTAACTACCTTCTTTACTTCTTTAGACTTTAGGTTTATAAATAAATTATACTCCCTTAGTCCCAAATTGTAAGATACATTTACTATTCACTTGATCAACATAAATCACTCGTAATCTTTTATTTTATATATCAAAAGTTTATGAAATTTGAATTATTTTTCGCACGCTTTGTAGCGGTTTTAATGTATTTTCTGAATATGTTTATTTTATTTTCTAGAACTAATTTGAGTGTTGACAGGGATCAATTTGCTTTATCGTCAGTCAAACATCGTAAACCGTAATGTATCTTACAAATTGGGACGGAGGGAGTAATTACTCCCTCCGTCCCATTTTATGTGTCTTATTTTGACTCGGCACGGTTATTAATGAAGTGGTTGAAAAAGTAAAAGTTGTGGTTGAGATTTGAGTTTAATAAAGTGAAATGGTGTAAACCACATATTTCTTTCCAAAAAAGGAAAGGAGACACTTATTTTGGGACAACCCAAAAAGGAAAGTAGGACAGGTAAAATGGGACGGAGGGAGTATATTTTCTAAATACGGTGAGATCAAAGAAGGACCTTTGGGGTTGGATTAGAATACAGGGAAACCAAAAGGGTTCTGTTTGTTAGTTTACAAGACTGTTTTTCATCAGCAATGTTGCCGCAGAGTTGGACTCCAAGAAGTTGTACGATTTCTTTTCTACTATCTTTAGGTTTATAAACTATACTAGTAGTTATATTAAAGTCTTATGAGTTCACCAAAAGTTTAAATGAATTTTAACTTATAGAATTTTAATTTTTTTTAAACATGTACATGATTACAGGATTAAAACAATGTAATTGTTTTCAAACATGTATAGAATTTTGAACCGAAGCATAGAAAATTTTTAAACTGAATTTTCATGGTAAATGGTACTCCGTACTTCAATCCAATAGTGGAACGTGAAGAAAAGGCCCAATTATTTTTTGTCGCACCAGGCCCTCTTTTTCTCGAGACCGGCCCTATTGGGAGCAAGTGTGTTGTTGTGTGTCATTGTAATTCCGTTCTGTTCTCTGTGTTATTTGTAATGGTATGTATTTGGTTGTTTGTGATTTTACTGATGCTGCAGGTGCAAGGGGAAGTGAAGTCACCAAACGGTTTGACAACTTATAAGTCGCCATCCGGTTTGGCGACTTACCCCAACCCGGATTAAACCCACCGGTATATTGATAAATACATTTAACCCAATATTATTTTGATAAATACGTAATTAATTCGCATTAATTCAGAAAAAACTCCAAAAAGAACACCTAGACCTTGTATCACTATATGAACGTCCATGTATGAAGTACAATGTTTCAACTTTCAAGCATGCGTTTAGAGGCCCAATACTTTTTACGGAGTATGTACCAAGGAATGCAATCAATTAATGGGCTAACAACCCGCACGGGCAGCTCAGTTGGTCAAGTGGTGGGAAATTTGTATCAATGACCAAGGTTTGAATCCCCGCAGCGACCGGGTGGATGTTACAGAACCTGAAATAAGTCTGGACCTCTGGTGCGCACGGGTGTATAGCCTACTGCCACTCTGCTGACTGAGTCACCGTGACTTACATCCTCCCATGTGCTCTGTCGGGTCGGGGTGTGGGGGCAATTGGGCTTGGCGATTCAACTTTTTTTTGGATCAATTAATGGGCTAACAATTAATGTACCAAGTAAGTGGCCTAAAGAAAAAAGAAAGGGAAAAAGAAATGGTATGACTGAGTAATGATCCGGTCAGGAGTTCCTGACCGGAACCGCCGTCCGGACCGCGACGTTTGGCCGCCTTCCCGGTGGCTTTTTTTGATGAAATTTTTATGACATGTTCTCCATCAAGTCTAGTTTATCCACAAAAAAATTCAGCCAAAAATTCAATCGGGAAGGTCGTCAAATGATTTTTGCAAGTTAACTGGTCCGGAAAATACATATTCTGGACCAGTTAACTTGCAAAAATTATTTGATGGTCTTCCCGATTGAGTTTTTGGCTGAATTTTTTTGTGGATAAACTAGACTTGATGGAGAACATGTGATAAAAATTTCATCAAAAAATTCCACCCGGAAGGTCAGGAACTCCTGACATGAACATTTGTGTGGTATGACTTACGCGTATTTATTTTCTCCCCTGCGTGCAATTACAATTTTTGCCTGATTTTTTGCGATTCCTAAAATCCCGTCAGAGTAGAGCGGATTTTGCAGTTCAGTGTTTGAGAGAGAAAGGCGAAGGAGAAAGGATGGGTGGAGTTGTTAAGGAGTTGAAATCAAAGGAAGAGCTTAACAAGGTTATCGCCGATGGGTCGCCGGTGGTTGTGCACTTCTGGGCCACATGGTGTGAGGCTTCCAAGCACATGGACCAAGTCTTCTCCCACCTCTCCACTGATTTCCCTCATACTCACTTCCTCAGGGTAAGCCTTTATCCCATGCCCAAATCATATGCCTTCTGCGTGTGTCTGTTGTGGTTATGCTGTCATGTGAATAAATCGACTTAGAATTATTAAAATTAATGCTAAAATCGTGAGAGAGCTATGGGTCATGGTAAATTGTAAGTCTTTTGTTTATTGAATGGTTAAAATGTTTTCTTTTTCTAATTATCCTGAGATGAATATATTCTTTTTGTTCATGGAGCTTTAAATGTGATGAGGTTTGGAGACGTTATTGAGTATAAGTACGACCTTTTTTAGGATGGCCAATACCTTTCTTAGAAGATAAGTTATCTTTAAACTTTAGTGTCTGTTTGAATGGAGAGTTTTTGTTGGGTTTAGCGCAGAAGGGTTTGAAGGCTTACTCTATAGAAGAATGCTTCTAAATCAAATAAAGGGCAATCAGAGTATTGTTTTATCAGTAATTGTGGTACACTTCACTTTATATGAAAATCCCTCAAATGCATATCAATTTATACACGTAGCCCTCCATTCCAAAACTCTCTGAAACCAACTCCCTAACTGACTTATAGTGTAAGGTCTAAACTCAGAAGAATATCACTAGAGCAGTCCTATCAGATTGAGCACAGTTTCTTATTTATACAAAAAAATGTCTACTTTCCTCCTTTATTAACTATCCATGGTAAATTATTCCTTCCTAAACTTGTTTAAATGAAGTTAATCACATTTGACCTTAGTTATGTTACCTTTTTTTTTTTATTTGATTCGCTTGACCTTGAAATCATGAATGCTGTATTTATATATTGCTGCACGTGAGCAAACTTTTTTAAGCGAAAAGCGTCCAAAAGCTTAAGCGAAGCGTAGCTTTCTCACAAAAAGCGAAGCTTAAAAATGTATAATATAATGTATAATTAAGCCAAAAATGCTTAAGTAGTCATAATAGTCATTAAGAATAATACTAGTGCGGCATAAAGTGAGAAAACATTCATCACACAATAAAGTGAGAAAACATTCTTCACGCCAAAATCCAAATGCCATCTGATTTTCATTTTTCCGCTCTGCCCTCCATAAACATCCCACCCTAATAAAAACCCATTTAACACTCATATAGTGTGGTCTTATTAGGGTGATTCATTCTTTTTAGGTACATTCTCCCCTTCCATTTCCTCCAACAACCTGCCAGCTTCCTCATCATCAGTCTGAGAAGCCTTCTTCTGTGACTAGTTCATAGCTCTTAAGTGCCTGTAGTTTTGGGTGGTTGTAGTATGCCACACACAAGAAAGCTAATCCATAACAAAAGAGGTTGATTGGGGTGACAGTGTCTTTAATCACAGACCAGGAAAACACAATCAACAACCAATCCTTAACCACTCTAGCAACATTCATGGTAAGGCAGAAGTCTTCCAACTTCCCCCAAGCAAGAAGACAGCAAGGTTCAGAGCAAAAGCACATTAGGAGTTGGTTCCAAAGATGACATAATTTAAGTGGAAGCTGGAATTCTCCCTTAAAACCGAGTACTCAACAAAATCCCATGGAACAAATAAGAAAACCAAACAACATGGCGCCACATAATAAATGAATAAACTGGAATAAAGTAATAAACTAAAAATTAATTAATTAATAAACTGAAAGGAATAAACATGATTTAACTGAAAATTATTTAAACAAACTAAAAGGAAAAAACTGAGAAGTCATTTTCGTTTTCTTGAGAAGTCTTTTTCGTTTCTTAACGTTTTTCCGAAAACACACAAAAGGATTTAAGTTCGTTCACAGAAGTGACAAACTACAGTTGAAGATTGTATACGTATGATACGAGCTTAACAACACAAATACGTTTTAAGATTGTTGGGTGTGTTTTGGAAAATAAAGAAAATTAATTAAAATAAATTAATTAAAATAAAATGACTAGAGAAAAACAAGAAAGGAGATGAAGCAGAATTAGTCAAAGCTCGTGCTACGCACGATGTCCTTAAAACGTATTTGTTGCCTCCCACGGTGCTAGGAGCGTTGCAACAATCGTTTCCCAGGATACGATGACTACGAACTAGTGTTTGAGCACTCAAACCCAAGTTCCAGCGAACGAGAACAAAGACTGAACACAGAGGAGTTTCAGAATGCTGGCAGTGTGTTTTTAGAGCTAAAACGTGTATGGATTCGTGTAAAATCGTGTAAGAACGTGTGTTGTTGCAAACCACCTGCCAGCCATTGTATAGGAGGATTTGTTGTGTGAAAATAGTGAATTAATGGACCTGAACGTTGGACATCAATGACCAGTCCGTTGGGCATTGAATCGTCCATGAACTGTCCATTTAACGCTGCATTAAAAGATATAAACGTTGGGCATTAATTGTTGTAACGTTTCAGAAGCCATCAGAAGACCCCTACGTAGTTCTGCCCGAAGGCCATCAGAACTGGAGCAGTTCTGATGCGCGGTCATCAGAACCGGAGCATCTCTGCCCGAAGGCCATCAGAACTGGAGCAGTTCTGATGCGCGGTCATCAGAACTGGAGCACCTCTGGTCGTGGCCTTCTGCCCGGAGCAATTCTGTCAACTTGGGAAAAATTATACGTTTCGGGAAGAAAACAAAAATTACCCGTATCTCTTGAGAGATGGATTTTTGGACGACATTCGTGTCCGCAGGTCGCCCGCGCACGCAAGTCGCGGTTTTTCTTCTCCGAATTCGGGATTTGATTTGCACCCCCCCCTGCGCGCGTGGAGAGAGCCTTTACCCTTAGGAATCTTAACTCCTTAAGGGGAGAGTCCCTTTATAAAGGGCTGCAAATCCCTTGGATTTTCCGGTGTGGGAAATTAACACACTAGAAACCCATCCTTTTTCCCAGTTTTTCCATTCTAACGGGTAAACTTCGAAAAGCGATTTCTCATTCACCCGTTATCCGTTTTGAGCGTACCATATATCGAATTGTAGCCCTTGACAAGGACAATCCGAAACCACTTTGACCTGACCCAAATCGGAAGGGGACCCCACTCAAAAAATTGCCCCAAAATAGCCATTTAATGCAATTTTTCACACATTTTTCCAACAATCCCTCACATGAATGAAAATTGATTTTCGAGACTTAAAAAGACACGAAGATAGGAGGACACGTTGTGTTCACCGGATGATCCTTGTATACGGAGAGGTAGGTTTAATCCTTTAAACCTTCCGCTGTAAAGACTCGTTTATTTACTGGCTGTCTAGTAGACTCGATGTCTTTGAACTATACTGCCGTCGTGTAAACATTGACTTATCTTTACACAAGAACCTTCCAACTTTGTTCCGTTCTCATGGGTGTGCCCGTTTTGGCCATGGGTCACCGTCCTGGTTCTGCAAGAGTTTCTACAGAACTGAGCCTTTACAGTTCTCCTTTGAAGCGGCCCTCTTCTCTCTCACATAGGTGATTCTTTCACGAGTATCCCGCATACACTTCCAATGTTATCGAGTAGATCAACATTTTAGAATCATTAAAGCAAACGTTTTTGCTAACCTCGTGCGGCAGTCACTGTTTCAACGAGGAGTGGGTAGGAGTCCGGGACCCCCACAGTGACCATCCTTCGCTCTATAATTTAGTTGTCCCATTTGAACCTAGGACCAACTAGGTTGGATATCCACTATAGAACTTTTCAATTCACGGGCTTTAATCCCATTCCTCGTGACAACTTCTCCAACAATTCTCTATCCAATGCCTTGATTAGCGGATCCGCTATGTTATCCTTTGACTTCACGTAGTCAACATTGATAACACCCGTTGTGAGAAGTTGTTTAATGGTATTATATCTACGACGGACGTGTCTAGACTTACCATTATAGAGATTGCTCTGTGCCCTTCCAATTGCCGCTTAACAATCGCAATGTATGCATATTGGAGGGACAGGCTTCTCCCAACTTGGAATATCCTCGAGAAAATGGCGTAGCCATTCAGCCTCTTCAGTGCACTTATCCAAGGCTATTAGCTCAGATTCCATCGTGGATCTAGCTATTAACGTTTGTTTCGAGGATTTCCACGACACGGCTGCACCTTCCAAAGTGAAAATGTATCCACTTGTGGACTTTGAGTCCTTAATGTCAGATATCCAACTAGCGTCGCTATACCCTTCAAGTACAGCTGGATATCTTCCATAGTGCAGTCCAAGGTTTTGGGTTTTCCGTAAATACCTCAAAACCCTTACTATTGCCTTCCAGTGTTCGTCACCGGGGTTGCTAGTATATCTACTAAGCTTACTAACCACAAAGGCAATATCAGGCCTGGTACAACTCATTAGATACATTAAATTGCCAATAATCCTAGCGTATTCTACTTGAGAAATACACTCTCCACGATTTTTGGTCAGGTGTACGTTTTTATCTAATGGCGTCCTTGCCTCTTGATAATCATCCTTATTAAATTTAGTAAGGATTTTATCCACGTAATGGGATTGGCTTAGCGTCAGACTGTCAGGTCCTCTAATTATTTTAATCCCAAGGATTAAATCGGCCAGCCCCATATCCTTCATGTCAAATTTAGAATTTAACATGTTTTTGGTAGAATTAATCATTAGATTATTGCTACCCACGATGAGTATATCATCCACGTATAAACATAAAATGACATAGCCGTCTACCGTGCTTTTCACATAGATGCATTTGTCACTTTCGTTTATTTTAAACCCATTAATTAACATTGCATGATCGAATTTTTCGTGCCACTGTTTAGGGGCTTGTTTCAATCCGTACAATGATTTAATTAATTTGCACACTTTCCTTTTCTTGGCCAGGAACACGAAAACCCTCGGGTTGTTCCATATAGATTTCTTCGTCTATATCGCCGTTTAGAAAAGCGGTTTTTACGTCCATTTGATGAACCTCCAAATTCTGCAGAGCGGCAATTGCTAATATCATCCTAATGAAGTTTATTCTCGTCACAGGAGAATACGTGTCAAAGTAATCATGGCCTTCACGTTGCTTGTATCCCTTAATTACAAGTCTGGCCTTATACTTATCAATGGAACCGTCCTGTTTCATTTTACGTTTAAAAATCCACTTGGATCCCAAAGGTTTACATCCCGGGGGGAGATCAACCAATTCCCATGTGTGATTTTTTAGGATAGAATCCACCTCACTTTTGATGGCTTCTTTCTACATTGGTCCTTCGGTAGACGTTACGGCTTCCGTATAAGTCCGTGGCTCATTTTCTACCAAACATGTTAGAAAATCCGGTTCATTTTCTACCATACAAGTTAGAATATTCGAATCGAATTCTACCAAGTATGTGAGAAAATCCGGTCCGAAGGATTTTTCAACTCTAGCACGTTTGCTACGTCGGGGTTCGGGTTCTTCACCGGATCCCTCACTAGTATTTTCCATAGCTACGTCAAATGTTCGTTTTGACGTGCTAGGTCCATCGTTGGACTTGCATGGAAATACGTCTTCAAAGAATGATGCATTCCTTGACTCAATTATTGTGTTTTTATGTACATCCGGATTATTCGAATCGTACACTAAAAATCGATAAGCACTACTATTTTGTGCATATCCAATAAAAATACAATCCACCGTTTTTGGACCTATTTTTATTTTCTTAGGTGTTGGTACAAGCACCTTAGCAAGACACCCC